ACCGCATATTGGTGGTGGCTGTGAGAAAGGCTTGTTAATACCACTGTGGGCTTGTGGGTGAGTGTGCATGACAGGTTTAATGGCATACTGAAATAACATAGCCTACCAGGAATATAAAGGATTAAGAATAAAAGAACCCAACAAATAATTCAGAAAGCATTTTGAGTGTTCATTATGCCCTAAAGGAGGTTATGTCTCCCCCCAAAAAAGAAGGAAATATAGGTAAAAGCATACAACAGGAAACAGTCTTATTTAACTGGAGGTATGGGGTAATAGAAAGCCAACAGGGTAAGTGAAATGTGGAACTTCCTCTAAAAAATATGAGTTTGGTGCTTCAATAGGGTTTCCATGAACCAGTCTACAGTCAAGTGAATTTTCATTGTAATGTAAAGCTTTTTACTCAAGAACACATGGAACACATGGAAAATGGTAACTATTTAGTCCTTTTTGCATTATGTTGTAGTGAACGCAGTCAGTATTGAACTTTTCATGCAGCCCAGTCTATAATATTGAGTTTACATTGTTCTCATAAAAGGAAACACGAATTATGGGAGTAGGAGAAGCCAATGGCCATTAAGAAGCTATTACCTAAAAGATTTAGGTCTAATTGACTAAGGCAGAAATTTATTATGCAATTCGTTTTGCTATCTAGCCTAATTATTTAGCAATTAATTAATAAACCCCACTTTACCATTAATTACCACTATATAAATTAGAGGAATGGGTTAATGATGTAGAAATGCTTTAATAGAACAATATAGAGATACATGGCTATTATTTATCTTATATAGTTAGAGGACAACAAAAGACTACATTCACAGTATGTATGAAATGATCTAGTTGAATCATTAAAAATGTTACAAACAAGAAATCTGTTAAGTATTCTAGAGCAAATTTAAGAAGAGTACAGATACCAAGTTGGTATTTCTCCTGTACCCAAAACATCATGGGAAGTGTAGTTTAACCTAAATGGAGGATATACAATCTGGGCATTCCTACTGTACAGCTTAACTTTTGTACTTGTGTAAAATATCAGCATTGGCATTAAGGCAGCATTTCCAGTCATTTTCTAGATGGGAAAAAGTCCAATAAACAAGTCTGTCTGATTTCTGTATGTGTTACTTTATAAAGATTCCAACTGATAAAAACCTATATCTATTTTCATTGTCCTGTTTCTACAGAGATAAAACATATTCTTGAGTGCAAGCTCTTGGGACAAGTGTTTCTAGGAGCAGATCAGCCAGCCAGCTTTACAGGATCTCAGATGCATCCAGCGTAGGTCTCCAGGGGGGCTCCCATATACAGAGGAAGCATCTTGCATCGTTATTCTCCAGCTCATGATTAACATGCTGCTTTGCATTATCAAAGATTTCCCTAGCTAGCTTCTCTAGAAAGCAACTTTGTAACATTTTTCAATGCGCAGGAAACTGTTTAATGCCAACAAAGAACAAGATATATAGTTAATTGCATTCCCCAAGCTCCCCTTGTTTCTGCCAGTCCATCCTAAATAAAAATGTATTGTTTGATTTAGCAGCCCAGCACAAAGCAGGCATATGTGCACCTTGCGCTTGGCATATGGGGTGTTTCCTTGTGTCCAAACAGTTATGTTTGTGTGCAGTGGGAACAAGGGTGCATCTGTTGAATTTCACAATAAACTCAGGGAATAGGGTCGTTGTCAGAAAGATTAGTAGTGGGTCTGGCATCTCAAAAGAGGACAGAGAGATGCTGGCTACAGGTATTATACGATTGGTAGGTATGTTAGCAGGAACAGCTGCTCCCTGTGTCTGCCTTTGAAAAGTCTACACACACATATTCAATAAACATATGTCACTACAAATCACAGTATCTTTTATATGGTGCTTGTCCATATCCTGGCTTTGGAGAAAGCCAGAGCTCTGAGTGTAGGAAGCTCAACAGGTGTTTGTTTGGGTGCGCAAAGCACCTTTTCAAGTCTCATCATCTTGGTTTGTACTCTTGTAGCATCAAGAGTTTATATGCCATTGTGTTTTGTGTGGGGGAGGGATTTTGGGGATGTGCAAATAATGTGTCTGTCCATTTCTGAGTGTCCACATACTCGTCCTTTTTGTCTCACAGCCCTTAATAATTGGTTTCCCCAGCGCCTTGTTTCTTTTCCCAAAACTTGGCATATGGGTCCTCCTGATCTATCCAAAAAAAAAGGCGTTCAGGGCGCAGACAGGAATCTTTTGTCAACAGAATCTCTGCTAGTTTTCTCTGTGTGTTGGATATTATTTTACAGTTTAAGTGCATGTGAGACAAAATAGGTAAGTGTTATCTTAAACAACTCACCCCCTCCCCACCTTCTCCAAATTAAACAGCACCATGTGTCGACAGCAGCCTGGAAGCATGAGCCTTGATTGCAAAACCTGACCATTTGCTGCCAGATGAAACGCGGGACTCAATTCAGCTGTTAACCATATGCTTTCAATAAAATAAGACAAATAGGACAGGAAGATATGACTTGCAGTAAACCTGTTATAAAATAGCATACAATTATCCAATGTAAACTATGCAAGGCGCCTCCTTCAATAGGTCATTTAATGCCAGTTCTATACAGGCTGGCCAGGCAGGTGTGTGTTTGGGATCCTAACACTTGTTTTGCCTTACACGTTTTATCAGGTTTGTGGTAATTCTGTGCTTGCTATGCTAACTAAGAGTAAACATAAGCGACCAGCCATTGTAAAAATAGGGAAAAGAGTTATCAGACAGTGATGTAGCCTAAAGGTGATTTAACAATAAACGTTCCTTCTCTGTGCAGCAGGTGATACCTGCCCTTAGCCTAGTGATTAATGCTATCCAAAGCACTCCACTTTACAATCTCTTGTAATTATTTATTAAACGAAATCTATTTATTATTATTTTAGCAAACAGTGGAACCAGGTGGGGCTTTCATTTCTCCTCCAGCCTTTGTTTGAAGGACCTTTGAAGTGGGTAGTCCAGGCTTTGCAAACTCGCTTACCAGATTTTTTTGTCCATCCAATTGTACAAGGGAGAGAAAAAAAATCTGCCAAGGCTGGCTATTCAATTTTTTTTTTTTTTTTACTTGTTCTATAAATGTAAAAGGGGCACAGAAAATAAGAAAGGAATAAATGTTCCCCTCCAGGAAGATGCTGTGGAAATAAAGGCTTTTTTTTATACCCAACTGTCCCTTTCCTCCCTACTTGAAAGTGTAACTACCAAGCAGATGCTTCTCTTGAGAAGAACCAGGTTGACTATGTCATGCTTGCGCACGGTGCGCACTGGGGTACCTGGCTTTCATCAGAATTCATTTATAAAATAAGCAGCTCAAAGATCATGTGAAAGTGTCAAGAAAAGGAGCTGTTTCAGCACCACAACGTTAGACATACATATCAGTTACAACATGCTTCTGGGTGGCAAGAAAAGCTAGCATTCCAAAATATTGTTTATTTGGATAAAAGTGATCCATTTGTAATCTCCAAAAGTGTACCCATCCCGAGCCTTGCTTTAAATGCCCTTACCAAGCCGAACAAGGTTTGCATATAGTTATTATACACCCAAAACCTTCCTATTCACAGTTTAACACAAGTCAGCATGTCGTGATTACATATTGATTGAATTTTAAATGGTGATTTGCGCAAAGTTAACAGGAGTTCCTTTGCGCACAAGCAAAGCCAAACATAGATTCTGCTATATTTAAGGCTTAGTTGGGTTTAATTCTGAAAGTTCTTCTTGAGATAATATATCACGTTTTCCTGCACATAGAAGACCTACATCTGAAATATTAGCAACTGATGTAATAATTAGCAAAATGATCGAATTTATATATTGAAATAGAGAGAACGTCTGATTTATATCTGGACCAAGTGCAGCCAGAGGCTTTCTCTGTGAGTTAAAGGGAGGACATATGCATTTTAAATATTTCATGTTGCGCACTATTTAGTTCTGTTACTGCATCTACACAGCTGCGGAGGTGAAAACATACACAAAAATATATCAAGTAGTTAGTGATCTATCCAATTTTAAAATTAATGTTATAATCTAATATTCTTTCTTAACGTAACAGAATAAAGCAAAGACCTACTTACAAATTCAAGTATAAAATATTGTTATAAATCTAAAAAGTATGCATAATACAAATTATATTTAGCAGTTAATTATATATATATTTAAAAAGATGTGTATGATTGATATTTGCAATATTGGATGTACTATAGAGTGTTGGGAATAGCACAGCCTGAGCAAAAGATAATTTTAAGTTAATAAAACATACACACAGGGTAAAGTCCTCTCGGTAGCCATTGATGACAGAAACTTAGCAGGCAGACAGGGACTTAACTTGATGTTAGGACATCACTCTGGAAGGGCAGAAAGGTCAGACTGAGGCAAATGATATTAGATTAGAAATAAACGCAGTTTTGTGTTGTGTCTGCTGAATGCTGATTTAGGGGTCCCTTATCTTTTGGGCAGGGTATTAGCCAAACTATATATTAATTTGTCACTTGAAAGAAAGGAAACATAAAACGTAAACAAACAACATTCTATAACAGATGGTTTATAAAATGTAAAAATGTAAAACACTTGTGCCTTTTTTTACTTTGTGTCAGATACTCTTTACTTTGGATTACACTTGGCACAGATCAGATTAGAATGATGTCCAGTTGAATGTCCTGGATGTATTCCTGGGCTGGGGTTAAGGCACTTTTAGGATAGAGGGGATGCATTTCTTACCCCCCTCCTCACTACAGCCCAGTGGACTCTTTGTTGGGATTCCAGCTGTGTCAGGCAGTGGGGAGGCTCGCGTGTCAGTGCTGCCTGTGACTGGCTACTGCCTAGGATGTAGTGCGCCAGGCACACTCCAGGCAAGACTGATAACATAAAGTGTGCTTGGATGGGGGCAGAAGGGGAGGGGTGGCACACACTTTGTATTGATTACTAAATCTCTATTGTCTCCAGATTGTATATATAAGGACAGGAGCTAGTCGTGTGCCTATTGCACAAGCATCACACTGTCCACACCACTACTGGAAGCAAACTAACCTCTCATCCACAGTCTGTGCCAAAGAAAAAAGCAAGGAAAGGGACAAATATCTGCTGATCTCTCCTGACTGCTTCCCCGAGTGACTCCAGACTCACTGCCTTTACTGGGGAGAATCTGCAATTCACACATTCAGGTATGTTTGTTTTTCACACATTGCTAGATTATCAGTAAAATAGTGCACGCGTCTGCTTAATGTAGCATTTAGATACCAAGTGAATGGAGTAAGTTTTCCAAAAACTGAAAAGTGCAGTTGCATGAATTTTATGGAGATTTTTAATTAATGTATTTGCATTATCTGCTCATGTCACAATAATTACAAATTACAATTAAACTATGATCACAGTGCCATCATGCCATAATAATGATTAACATTAAAATGTATTAAAACATGTGTTAAATGTTTAACATTCTGACTTCTCTGACCTCTATCTTGCAGGATGTCTCCTAAAACCGACTGCCCCCTAAATCAGAGAAGAGAGAGCTGCTGTGAAATGTCTGATGGGGAGGCTTCCTCCTTTTCTCCCCCTTGCTCTCCTGCCCCTTCCCTCAGTCATACAGAGAGTGAAGAGTGCCCTTTTGGAGACAGGTTTGCCTTCCAGGACCCCAGGGAGACCCAACGCAAGAAGCTAAAGGGGAACAGGACAAGATCAAAGACAAGGAATGAATTTACAGTTACCAAACAGAGGAAGAATCGCAGGGTAAAAGCCAATGACAGAGAGAGGAACCGTATGCACAATCTTAACTCAGCTCTGGACTCCTTGAGAAGTGTCCTTCCAACATTTCCAGATGATGCTAAACTCACTAAAATTGAAACGCTGAGATTCGCCCATAACTACATATGGGCTCTTTCTGAAACCCTGCGTATGGCTGACCAGAGCCTAATAAATCTGGGGCACCACCAGGACTCCTTTCAGAACTTACCTAAGAGCTGCTTCATGTTGGACCTCACCAGCCCCAGCAGCAGCTGTAGCTCCTCCAGTGAATGGGAATCCTCTCTCTACTCACCAGTGTCTCAAATCAGCAGCCCCATGGCAGGTCCAGGCAATGAAGCCACCTCACTTCCTTTTCTGAGGCACCACTCATACTCACAATTTGTCTGAAGGTCCCTTACACCCTCTCTCTGATTATGCTCTTCTATGGACTTTTAAACAAAGGTACAGACATTTCTCAAAAAGATACCCAAACGATGTCTTTATTGGTGTATTTTTCTGTACGATGTCAGTATTTATTGGTGTATTTTTCTGTAAATGTGTCTTTATATTCTGTTTATTTTTGTATTTTTTTTTGCCAAGAGAATATTTGAAAAGCAAATATTTTTTGTTTCTTTTTTGATATACAACTCATATTGATCATCAAACTTTTCCTTAACTAATGGAAACTAAATATTCTGTTTTTGCACTTTTTATATTTAGCTCTTAAATACAAGTTCCAATTTTGTAAAATTTAATTTTTTTTTAATTATTATTTTGAACTCTTGTAATTGTCATATTGTTTCAATGATAAATCTTTAAAAATAGGAGAGCAGAGCTCTTTTCAGGTAATGCTGAATGAAAAATGATTGTTGTCCAATGAATCAATGTACTTAAATTATATGAATTTGATGTTCTGTATTTATTGATTATATTTCATTATAAATATATATTTTGTACAAATAATGATTATTTTTTTATGTTTGGATAAGCCGGGTATTTTACTGGCAAAATGTGATTGAAAAAAATAATAAAAATAAAATGCTACTTAGTTTGCAGTATTTTGTATTTTTTTTTTTTTTACTTAAATCAATAAAAGTATCATACGTTTATACAAAGAGCAACAGAGTTTAACTAAACAGAGACATTCAGCGGTTAAAGCCTCATTGTCCTAAAATAAAAATTTATTTACCAACTGTTTTACAGAAGTTTAAACATGACTGAATGTTATTAAATATATTTGTGTTAGCAAACGAATTAATAAAAAAGATGTATTGCAGCAATCAAGATCCGGATGGAGAAATTGAGCAAACAATTGCTGACTGTTCCAATCCTGGAGAATTTATCTTCAAGAAAAAGATTAATGGGTTTTTGGTAACTGCTAACAGTTCTCCTGTGCTGTTACTGCTAAACAGTAGCACTGTGCTGTGCACCTGCTAAATGCAGTAGGTATCTTGGCCCACTGCATCACTTTAAGTATATGAATCAAGATTCTAGGCAAACTATTACAAAACTCTAACATTTTGCTTAAAGGAAGACAAAGGATGGACATTTACCTTTATCAAGGTTGTTCACTAAAATTATAATTATTGGAAATAGTTATGTAGTGAATTAAAAATCAATGTGCAATATTTGGGCAAAACTTGCTTATTTGGAAGAATTCTATCAACTGTGCCATTAGGGTATTTGAGCCTGAATTTTGCTATTCAGATTGAAGATCTCTTTATTTCACTGACAGTTACAGAGTTATTTACTAAGATGAGCATAGAAAGTTAATTCAAAGGAAATTAAAATTTTAGACCAGAGTAGCCAAAATGGAAGCGTAGATGCATTTTTCCAGTTTGGCTATTTTCGTCTTACATTTGAAATTTACTTTGAATTCACTTTCAATTCTCACTTTAGTAAATGGCTTTGTGTGTGTTCTAAACCATCTCAATTTTACCCTCTCCTCACAGAGCTTTATAAATTCTTATATTTGTCCTTGATGAGCACATCCAAATTACATTGATGTTTGAAAACTATATGAATTAAAAAAATATACAACTACAAACATACATAAGATCAATAGAGTGCTTCAGAAAGCGCTAGACAATACATTAAATGATGGCGGGAGGTCAGCACAATCATTTAAAACAAACTGTATATTTGCCAAAGCTACACAGATTGCCAATTTCAAATGTAAACAAAAAAGATTTGTTTAAATTTTTTTTCCCTATTTTGCAGTATCCTATGTGTAAATTATCCCTGAGATGGATGCCCCCATTTCTATTTTGTGTACATGTTATGGCCATTAGATGTGGACAAAGGCTGTTTTGGTTTGAAATTAGTATTAGTTAATTATATATATTTGTGGTATATGTTTTTTTTTTTGTTCAAAACGACATAGTGCCAAATAAGTGCCCATATGAGTTACATGTTTCACCTCTTTGAATGGTTAATATGATTACTTTATACTCAGTGTTATCTATGGTATTAGGTAATCTTCCTATTTTTTTTTTTTACCTGTGAGTCACTATTTATTATTTATTTGATTTCCAATTTGTGCAATAAATAACGTGTCCCTGTTAGAATATTCAGAAATATTCCTAAGGTGTTCTTATACTAAATTGAGCATTGTGGAGAATGGACAATGATGTTGAGTGCATTTCTTTGAATAGCAACTCATATGTCCACATAATGATTGGAGAGTCACCAAGCAATAAAAAGGTAGTTGGGTAGAGGTGAAGTAGACAAGTTGTGAATTTAGTTGGACCTTTCTCAATCCTTCAGTCTTCACAGTTACATAAGAGATACATTAGTCCTGCCTGCTCACCTTCCTCAAATCTCATCATATCCTGAACCTGTGCCATCTGATTTTCACAATTCACTTTCTTTAGAAAGTGAACTACTATTACAAAAGTAGCAACTGATCTCCACTCATAAACATTTTTTTCCAACTCACTTGCTACATTTCACCCAGTGGACGATATCTTCAACTCTTGGGGCCTCAATCATCATGGCATCCATGATCAGTCATAGTCTTTTATTATTCTATGTTCTTTCTCTATCTCAAATAGCGATATATTTGCTGAGACTGTCTCCTCATTAAGATTCTGTGGGGCCCGGGCAGTTCCCAGGGCCAAAGGCGACCATCTAGGAGAGCATTATGTGCTCTAAACAATTTGAGATTGCCTTATTTCTCCATGTGGAATAACTAATCATCTACTAAAACGTAATAGACTAAAAGACTGCGATACGTCTAATTCTTCCAAAATGTCACCTTACATTTTATTTTGGTGTAACATAGATCAGTCCACTACTTACCCTATGGAAAGACACTCTGTGTGTGGGTAGGGCTGGATGAAATACTTGGTCAAAAATGATAAATTTGGATTCATCCCTTGTCTTCCTTGGTTACATTACTGAACTAACACAACCTCTTTGTTTCTACTATTGCATTTCTTTTTCTCTGTGCAAAACTGTTCCACTGTTAAAGGAATACTATAGCATTAGGAATACAATTGTGTATTCCTACCAATATAGTGCCCTAGTCACAATTTAGGTGACATGGTCTCCATTGCCAGGGTTAAAAAGGTGAGTTTTACTTACTTTTCTCCCTTGCAGTGCTGCTCTCTGGTGATCCACTCCACCTCTTTGTCTGAAATCATCAAAATATACGATCTCAGCCAATCCAATACTTTCCCATAGGAAAGCATTGAGAGGAAAGTGCACATGCACTGAAACAAGGTGGTCTGTCTGAGACCATCTGATTGAAATAGTGGAGCTTTACTTCACTATTTCAGCGAAAGTGCCTCTAGTGACCATTAGTATGCCAGCCACTAGAGGCAGGCTAACCCTGCAATAAAAACAGCAATGAGATAAAAGCTGCCAGGATTAAAAGCGGGGGTTGGGGGGGGGGGGAGGGGACACCAAGACCACATTATTAAGATGAAGTATTCTATCCATGCTTGGATGGCTATATTTAGTTATTAGTTCATGGTTCTTTTATTCATAAAATTGCTCAGGACCAATTAGTAAAATATTGAATGTGCTGTGATTATTCTATCCAATTCAAGTTCAAAGTATGCATTTTTTTAAAACATTTATTCTACATGCACGTCCAGCACCGTAATGCAATGCTGTAATTTTGCCAGTTGAAGAGTCGGACACAAACTCTCCCTATGCTCTCTGCCTAGTGTCTGCAACTCATACAAACAGGCAAACTTTTAGAAGTGGATCCTAGTCACAAAAGTGTCGACAGTGACTCTTATCCTTACTTCACTCATCTGCCACAGAGGACCCAAACTGGATATTGCTGAATTAGCTGAAATATTTGAGGCCTTGCCGAGGGCTGCAAAATGACCCTGGCCTTTGTGTTTGTCTTATATATGTCTCACTTTTTGATAAAAGTCAAAATATAAAATAAACTATACAAGCAGGTGTTTTTGTTACAGCAGAACAATTATTATTGGGTTGAGAATGATTCAATACTGAAGGGGTTAATGGCAATGGGCAGTGTTGCAGAATCAGACTTCATTGTGACTCCTTAACACAGCACTCAGGAATGAAGTAGTAAACTGTTCTCTTTATGGGGGGGGACCAGGTTAGCTTATGCTCTATGGGCCAAATGCACGACTGGAATGCTAATGTGACCAACAGTAAAATGCAGATTGAGCACATGAATCTTGTATTTAGCCCTCCACAGAATCAATTTGTAGTAGTTAGATTTATAACTTCTCCCTTTCATTCCAGGTTCCAAAGAGAGGCATTCTCTCACTGCCCCCCTGTTGCAATGTGTCTTGAAGACAAAGAGATGCTTATAGGCCAAATGGTTATTGTCATGCTAATTGTTGTCAGCTGAATTCATTTAAAGGAAGCAAAGAGGCACTATTGAAGCAATTTGTAAAACAAAAGAAATTTGGTTCGTGAAGACAGAATATTTCAAACATCCCTACAAAAGGGTCAAATGTAAATCTCCAAATGCCCTAGCTATCATTCTAAATCACTGAGATTGTTACTCTTCGATACACTCGCTGCACTGGTGACACTTGCTCAGAATATAGAGAATTACAGGTACGTGATTCGGAGCATACATGTCACAGTGGCTGATTATGGACTATCTCTAAAAAATCTACATTTTTATTCCACAAAGTCCAAATACAAGCTGGATGGCAAAAGTTATTAAAAAAAAGAATTCCCTTAACCATTCCTTCCTTTTTGTGAGGCAGATTCATTCTGCCCTACTGACATTTAAATGGAATAAGAAACCAAGTAGGGTTAAAATGGCTATTTCGGGCGTGGCCTGTCGGCGAATGGAGTGAGTCCCACTTTGCCGGAGCTCTGCTACCTCGACCCACAAAAGCCCAAAATAAGAGCCTGCCAATACCCCCAGAATGGGTAAAACCAGACGCCAGGGCACCCCGGGACCCTCGGGCAACAGCCCATTAAGAAAAAATGCCAGTCTGATGGACGACTTTCTCTCCACCCCAGATAGCTTCCGAGCCACGAGGCCCGCAGACAAGATGGCGGCCGCCTCCCCGGGAGTGGAGAGCGGTGGGGACTCAGAGCCCAGCTCAGCTAAAGGAGAGGCCCTAACGCAAATAACAACAGAACTGGCAGCCATCTCGGCCAACATGTTCACCAAACGTGATAAAGCCGCCATGGTCGCGGAGCTGAGGGCGGCGATACGAAAAGAGATCTTAGAGGTTCTCAGGGACCTCACGGCCCTTGAACAACGGGTCTCAGAGCTTGAAAGTGAAAACCTACAAGCCATCCAGCATTCCCAGGCTGCCGACCATGCCACGGCCAGGCAAGGCTCATTGCTTCTGGACCTCCGCAGACAGGTGGAGGATCTGGACAACCGGGGGAGACGTAACAACATCAGAAGTCGATAATGAAGACCTTTTCGAAGCCCTTACACAGCTCTTCACACGCATCTTGGGCGAGGAGGCCCCAGATGACTTCCACATAGAACGAGTCCACAGGGCCCTGCGTCCCCCAAGGAGAGACGGCCTTCCTTGAGACGTGATATGTTGCCTACTTTCTTTCCAGCTTAAAGAATCACCTTCCGCGATGCCTCGGTATCACTGTATCAAGATCTGTCCTCCTTTACTCTGGATGCCCAGAGGGCACTGTGGCTGCTAACATGCATCTTCCAGGAGAAACGCATACCCTATGAGTGGAGTTTCCCCTTTTGCCTCCAAGCCAAAAAGGATAACACGCGATGGCCCAATGAAGTACCCAGCTTCCTGAGAGCAATGGACCTGCCACCAGTCACTGTCCGCAACTGGATCCTGGACCAACCTCCGCCGCGCCCAAATCATCCTGAGGTCTCCGAAAGCCTGCGCAACCAAGCTCGGAGAGCAGCGCAACCCACATGCTGGGGAGGCACTGATGGACCCGAGGAGTAACCACCCGTACCCTGGACCATTGGCCCATCTGGACCGGCATCTCCCTCAAGGACGCTTTCAAGACAGCAACAGCTAAGTAGTAAAACTTGCACTCACACGGGGACGTCCACCTCAAGGGCCAGGTGGGTACCGGGATGAGAAAACTGAAAGGAACTCACAACGCAACTGGGACAACACGGTATGAGGGGACGGGAAGGGACACCTAGAGGCCATGGCCGATTTTGGGGGGGGGACAGGAGCTATGATGAATTGAGATTGGCTGAGAAAGCAGGGACTCTTAGGCCCGATATAACTTTGGTAACGAACCAAGAGCCACATCCCCCACAGACGGGACTTAGCTCAGAGCGGGGTATGGATTCAGCAGGACAAGCCAGACCTCCCACTTGAATATGCATTGCCGGCAACCGAGAACTTAACCACTTATCGGTTACGCTCCAACTCTTACACTTAACTGCCCTCCAGGGACACTATAAGGTACCCCTAGGTTCGCACACCAAAAAAGAGCCAGCACAGATGTAACGGGGAGGGGTATGGCCCAACCGGTTGAATATGATTTCGGAGGGGGGTGCGGGAGCCTTAGTGTCCTTGTCTTTTTGTTTTAATCTGTTTTACCATGCTTGCATTGTTTTACAAGCCGAAAAGAGTTTTATGTTAAGTTTGAAGTCAGGGACGCGTCCTCGAAACCGCTTAACTCGTAGACGAGATGTAATATTGTAATATTGTATGCAATATTGTTATGTTTCAGATGCTAACTGAGCACTACGGGCACGCGGTGTTGGCATCAGAGAATGCCCCCGCCCCATTGAGACACCCCTAAATCCCCCTCCCCAGGAGTGACCTACACCTCCCCGACAATGACCCACACCCCCGAGTATGGGATCCCCGACTGACCGCCGCCGGGTGGACTACCCCCTGAGCTGAATCAATTGACCCTGTGGGACAGTCCCACAACAGAGACTGGAACCCCCCCAACATCCATTACTCCGAAAAACTGGCGAACTGGGATGTATGCCACCGGATTGGGGGGCCGACCGGCAGCTCAAACAAATCTAGACAGGGACCCAAATGACCGGCCCCTTAGCGAGACCCGGGGATGTACCGCCCAATTGCCCGCACTGGCCCCCTTCAGAGAGCCAACCTATTCTCACCGACCTTAGTAGAAGCTCCACAAAGTGGGTCGAGGGAGAGCGGATACTGGACTTCCCAGACGGACTCAACCAACCGGACTTCCTAGTCCCTCAGCAACTGACCCTATTGTATATTAGGTCTCCCCCACACGACCTACTATTTCGAAGCCTTCAACAGGCTAACAAACCCAGACAGACACATCAACCAAACCAACCCCCTCCACTACCCATCCCACTCACCCACCCCCCCCTTTTTTTTCTCTCTTCCCCTGATGCCCCCTGGTCCTAGCCCCCCTTGCCGGGTGGCCGAGCAGCCATGGCGACCGGCTTCTGCCCAGCGCCTCTACTCTTACGATCCCACAACGTAAGGGGCCTCAACTCCCCAGAAAAAAGGAGACACCTGCTGAGGACCCTGTGGTCTCAGAAGACCTTGATAGCATTTATACAGGACCAGATGTCAGTGGGGAATTAACACCTGCAGACTTGTGCACATACGCCAACACTGACTGGCTCAGCTTCCATCAAATATTGCAGGGTGACCGACTCATGCCTCTGACAGACATCCTCGGGGACAAAGCACCTACAGGCCTAGACAACTTCCACTACCTTCAAATACAGGCATATTACGCGACTTTCCCGAACAAACGGTGCCTACACAGAATCCCCACACAGTTTGAAACATTATGCACCAAAAGGGCCCACCCTGAGAGGGGAGTCTCCATGCTATACGTGCTTCTCCTCGAAGGAGAAAGCATGCCATACCCAAGATACATAACCAGATGGGAGAGAGAGACAGGGAAAAGATATTTATTTTAACACATAAATGCTCCATCAGCTCCAATATCCAGGAGACAAGCTTCAAGATCTTAACACACTGGTACAGAACCCCAGATATTCTGCATCATATAAACGCAGAGACGCCCGGCGACTGCTGGAGATGCGGCGCCAATGATGGCTCCGCTCTCCACATCTGGTGGGGCTGCCCCAGCATTGCCCCCTTCTGGGCAGCGATCCGAGAGTCCATCCAACAAATCACAGACATTGCCCTGCCATTCCAGCCCCTCACCATGCTGCTACACCACACAGATATGTCCCTTTCCGCATACAAAAAATCCCTAGTAAAACATCTACTGACAGCAGCCAACTCCCTGATCCCTACAAGGTGGAGGCAAAGGGATGTGCCTGTGACAACTGAAGCAAATCTGCTCTCAACACGACGAACGTGGGACCCACCCAATACCCTGGTGACCATTATTCTAACCAAAACACTACATACTAATCAACCACATAGGCCTCAGTTAAGACCGCAACGCAGAAACCCCGCTCAGACATGACCCACTAGCTCCACGACTGCTGACCGATCGCCACGCTGTTTTACCAGTTTGTTATACGTTGCAAGTGTGTATCTAAACCTGTCACAAATACCCTAAATTGCTACTACATGCACCTATAAGGACAACGATTAATGCTTATGTTAACAGTGGTCAGGGGACATTGTTGTAAATTGTACCGTTATTAACCTACCATAACTCGTTGATCGCATTTTGGTTCTACGCAACTCAGTGTGTTGTGTTAATTCTATTACCGCCACAGTCTGCTTTTAACTCTTTGTTTCTAAACACTCTGCCGCTTAAATACTGTTGGATCTCAAATTTCATAGGAGCTACAGCTGTGTATTTTGTTTACTCTGCTGACACCCTATATTTTCCAGTGCACGAATTGTCAAACTGGAACGAAAAACGAAAAATAAAGATTGTCAAAAATAAAAAAAAATGGCTATTTTACAAAAGCTAGTGTGGTGTGGGTTAGCCAAACTTTACCCATTATTTTTCTGTGACTAATGCGACTATGGCCCTTAAATTTAACTTGGAACATGGTTTCTCCCGGTGGCTCGAGATGAAGGCTACAGAAATGTTACCTCATCTGATTAACCCCTTAAGGATCAAACTTCTGGAATAAAATGGAATCATGACACGTCACACATGTCATGTGTCCTTAAGGAGTTAAAGTGATATGGTTGCCTCTTGCTCGGAGACTGTGGGTGGTGAACATGTTTCCAACTACCACAGTCACCATTAAGGATGGGATGTGTTAAATAAAAGGATAAATCCTTTTACTGGTCTATAGGTACCCCAATAGAGGTGTTGACAACCTGCATTGCCTGACATGGAATACTGGCTTTCCTATTCTGTCATATGTATTAATAATTTGTTTTTGTTTAATTCTTTTTTAACCTTTTGACCACTTACAGGCCAATATAACCACATTTCACTGAAATATTCAATTCTTGTTTTTACTAGTTATCTCAAGCTATGTAGCACATCCCAAACTGTGCAACTTAGTGTCATCCAATGTCTATATTAAATTCTATAACTATCACATGTGCCTCCCACGTAAAATGTATCAGCTGTCAAATTAAGGCAATTTGGGCAAGTTACTTTAACTATGCAAACGGTTCAAAATAGTAATAATACACATTTAATAAATAATATAAGTAAATTAATAAGGTAAGATAAACATAATAACCGAAATACTTCATAACTATTTCAGTATAGTGGACCCCTCTATGGAGTTAGCCCTTCCTAACATGCAGTTAGCTCCCTAATTGATAGTAATTATGGTAAAACCGAATGCATAGGCAGACAGCTGAAAATTCTTTCATATCTCACCATGAGTTATGTTTTTGCATGATTTACGTTCAAAGCAATTTAAAGAATGTATTGCAAAATATGGACATTGATAACTCTTAGAGGAACATTCCAAGCATTAAAACCCCTATAACTCGCTGCAGTGTTTATGGTGTCAGGAGTGCCCTGACACCCTTTCTAGGTAAGTAATCAAACCATTTTCAAATAGTTTGATGCTTGCCTGGGGTCTGACTGCTGCTGGTCACCTCTTTTAGGAGAGTCAGAAAGTCTCTGCAGTGAGCTAGCTTGGGGTATAGACCTTAGCTCATTGCTTGAGAGGGCTGTGCAGGGATCAGCTCAGCATAGCTAATGAAAGCTCCATGCAGGAGCTTCAGTGTCTCCTGGATGTTGACTGGTGCACCCAATATAACTTGTCAAACTGCTTGCAAACAGTTTTTATAGCTACCCTGGGAGGGTGCCTGTGACGGAACACTGGCACTCCAACTGAGTACCTCCGCCAATCGATGCTCCTAGCGCTTGCCGAGGACTCCAAGCACTCCAACCGACACCATCAGCACTGCAGACCCCACTTCCAGCGATGCAACTGCGCTGGGGTCTCTGCTGTCTCCACCCACCCTGGACCCAAGGCCAGGATCCAGCTTCCAGTGGGTGAACCTCTCTTTCCCCAGAGAGCAGGAACAGGAACAAGCTCTTAGCAGAACTTAGTGATCATACCCTGGGGAGTATAGTGATTATAGCAATCCCCAGAGTGTATTTCTCCAATCCCCCAAACATGAGCCAAGGCTTAATGCTGGAACAAGACTAATTTACTGGCACACAGAACTCACAATTTATGCAACACAAAACTCCTCCTCTGGGCCAGGCTAGATAATTGAGTTTCTACAATACACAAAGCTCAATTATCTGCTGGCCAGAAATTATATAGTTTCATAAAACCCACAGGGACCCCAAAACATGCAATTACCCCATAAAAAGTATATCCTTGGAACCGGGGATCTGGGTGAACCACATATCCAAAATTCACCCAGATCCGTTCAGTACTTTGGAAAATACAGTTTAATGCAGATTCTGCAGAACATATACAGGCTAAATGAAAAACAGTCACTTTATAATGTGTCCCCTGCTTTATAGTCCAAAACCACTGCACGATGTCTCTGTGCACCAAATACTGGCGAGATGGCACCGTGTTGAAAAGTCCACACAGTGTCTGTGAGTTAAAATGGCC